AATACAAGTGAATATACTGACACTTGATATGGCATGAATTGGTACCTGCAAAATAGATAGAGAAGAGGACTCACACAAGGAGGCGACAACTAATAAGACCCCTAGGGTTTTATCGTAGAAGAAGAGGGAGAAAAGGGATGATCACATCGAGGGGATCGATCTCTTAGGGTTTGTCAAAGACTAGAATAATATTTTATTGATTGTCGAAAAGAAATAGTTACATCTCTATTTATAGAGTTCCACCTAGAGTCCACTAGGACTTAGACTCTTAATATTAAATAAATATTAAATAAACCCATATCCGACTCTTACCGAATTAAACAAACTCAACAAAACATTATTCAAAAGCTCAGAAAATAAAGGGATCCTAACAATTCCTCCCCCTTCAAATCAGCCTTGTCCTCAAGGCTGAGCAACATCAAACTCGGGGAGTTTTTCTTTCAGCATTTAAGTTGCAGGGTATCTATGACGCATCACAACCCGTTGATCAAGTAAGTACGGTCTCCACTTCTTGATAGTGTAAGCAATAGGTCGGCCTTTCGGTGTAGTAGTCGTTGTAGTCTTCTGAAGAACCCTCTCTATCCGATGGCTAATGGCAGTTGTGACCTTACTTCCATGTCTTCCCTTTAGGATCACCAGCTTTCCATTAATAAAAAACTTTATAATTAGTTTAGAAAAATTTCAAGAAACATCACCCAAGGTTGATAGCTATTCAATTCCAAGCACCACTTCGAAGTCTTCCAAGGGTAGCAAAAGAAGTCCACAAGCAACTCTTGGCCCTGTATAATCAACTTTATCTTCGAACATTTGATATCACAAGTTAAAATTAGTCCAACAACGACCTTTACTTCGAATTTGTTATAGCCTTCAATGTGGTAGGTCAATCGGTCAGCAACCTTACTGTCCATAAAATTGTTAATGCTACCAGTATCAATCAAAATTGTAACATGTTGATGTTCCAAAGTTCCTTCAACTTTCATAGTTTGCGGGTTAGAGTAGCCGGCTAATGCATACACTGTATGTATGATAGGTCCAACATTTTCATCAGAATCTATACCTTCATGACCAGAGTCCACATTGTTAGCTTTTGGTTCCTCCCTAATTAGTTCAATCATCAGAAGTTGCCCTTGTTTACATTGGTGCTCCCTACTCTACTTTTCATCACAATGCCAGCACAAACCCTTTGCTGATCTTTCCTTGAGTTCTTCTCAGGTTAGTCTTTGGGTGTGTTCCGGCTGGGAATATATGGGGTGGGTGGCTTGCTGATCATCTGTTTGTTGTCATTTCTGTTTCGATGATTTTCTCTATTGATTTTTTCCTCATGTAAACGTGCAAATGATATTGTAGTTGTCATAGTGCGGGGTTGGCGAGCTTTGACTTCACATCGGATATCTGGATTAAGTCATTCGATAAATGTACCCACCAATTGTCATTCGGAGTAATCTCTGGCTTGATTTGACAATCGTTCAAATCTGCTCTGATATTCTAACACTATGAAAGTCCGACGAATTTTGGCGAGCTGCCCATCAACATTCTCGTATTCAGATGGTCCAAAGCGAATAAGAAGTCCTCTCTTGAATTGCTCCTATGAGGGAACCCCATGGCAAGTTTCGTACAAATCTTACCATTAGATTGCATCTCCATCTAGCTGGATTGAGGCTATTTCCACCTTCGATTCTTTTGGGGTTATGTGAAAACGGAAAATTTTTTCTGCCCTAGAGATCCAACTGGTCGGATCTCCATCTTCCCATCTTGGAAATTCCACCTTCATGCGTGGGTAGCTTATGTCCTGTTCTTGGATCATTTTTCCCGTGTCTTTAGACCGGTTCAAAATAAGACTTGAACTTTCATCTTGTTGAAACTTGTTGAAGCTCTCCAATAGGCTCTTTTTGAAATTGTTAAGGGTTTCTTGTAATCGGTTTTCAATTCTAGTTTCTAATGCTTAAATTTGTGCTTTCACTGAGTTATCGATAGTCATTGCGTAAGACAGTGCTGTCGACGTGAAGCTGCTGAGGAAGCGGACGCCGAGGGCAACGTAAAGGCTTGCTATGGTCGCTGGGAGAAAAAAGTTGCTGCCCTGTTTCTGTCACTGCGTGGGGTGAGAGTGCTGCGGTCGCTGTGAGGAGGCGGCGTCGGCGTGGGGAGCGGTTCGCTGGCCGGGAACAGCGGTGGTGGCCCTTTCTTGCTCGAGCAGGATGGGGTGTGGCTGCCCTTATGCTGCAATTGGCTAGGAGGTGCGTTGTTGAGGGCTGGGAGGCTACGTGCGACTGCGGTGGAACGAGGGGGGATGGTCGAGCGGTAGAAGATGCAGAGGATGGCGGATCTAGTGGCTACGACTGCGACCCAAGGGGAGGTAGCAAGGGTCGCAGTTGGGAGGCGGGGGGCGGTGGTTGCTGGCTGGGAAGCAACGGCGACGGTGGTGGCAACCAGCGACTGCGGCAGCAGAGGGATCGACGGCTAGGTAGCAGAGGGTACTATGTTTCTATCGCATTGCAAAAGGAGTCGTTGGCGACACCGAAGGATCGCGAGCGGTTGAGGAGAAGGCTGCAATGCTTGGTAACGGTGGTGGCGCAGTTGGGAGCAGCGTCCCAAAGGGTTGCTGAGGGTTGGGATCGACAAGGGGGCTGTGGCAGCAGAGGGAGCTCTGTTTCTGTCGCATCATAGAAGGAGCCGCTAGCGATGCCAAAGGATCATGAGCAGTTGAGGAGAAGGCTGTGGCGGCTGGCAGCGGTGGTGGCGCGACTGGGAGCAGCGTCACCAAGGGTCATTGAGGGCTGGGATTGACGAGGGGGCTACGACAATAGGGTTGGGATGGACGAGGGGGCTGGTTCGCTGGCCTGGAAACAGTAGCGGTGTCGGCGTGGGGGGTGACGAGGGGGGTGGTCGCTGGCCGGGAAGCAGTGACGACGGTGGAGAAGGGGAAGCGGGGGTTCCTTCTCGGTCGAGAAGGATTGGCGTGCATGGTTGCCGACTTCAATTTATTTATTTATTTATTTTTTGAGATAATGATAGCTACGACGAAGTTATGTGAGAAATTACAGCGAGAACGACGAGGATTGTTGCTTTGATACCAAATGATAAGACCCATAGGGTTTTATCGTAGAAGAAGAGGGAGAAAAGGGATGATGACTTCAAGGGGATTGACCTCCTTGATTGATCACTTTGAGGTGATCGACCTTCTAGGGTTTGTCAAAAGACTAGAATAATATTTCATTGATTGTCGAAAAGAAACAGTTACGTCCCTATTTATAGAGTTCCACCCAAGGTCCACCAGGACTTGGACTCTTAATAATAAATAAATATTAAATAAACCCCTATCCGACTCTTACCGAACTAAACAAACTCAACAAAACATTATTCAAAAGCTCAGAAAATAAAGGGATCCTAACAACAACATGCACTGAATAAGGCAATGATATGAGGAGGCATCATGGCAACATCAACATGAGGAGAAAGCAGAGGAAACGGTGATGTAAGGAGGTGAGGATGATTTGAGGAAATAGTGGTGATGGCAGCACAGGGAGGCAGCAGCAGCAGAGGCAGCGATGGCAACGCAAGGAGGCAACAACAGAAAGGGGGCGGATGCGGAGGTGTGGTTGGAGGTCAAGGATGCTGCTGTGATGGAGGTGGGGTTAGAGGCAAAGACAAGATGATGTTTGCTATGGAGGGGAGACTGAGAGGAGGAGAAGCTATAAGAGAGAGAGAGGAGCTATCAACAACTGTTGGTAGCTGTTAAAAGAAGAAGAGGGGAGGAGGGCTCAAATTCAGTAGCTATTGACAAAAGAAAAGAGAAAGGCCCATATTAAAAGAAAGGTTCAGAAAAAGTTAAAAATGTATCATGGTGTATAAAGCTACATACGCTGACCCTCTCTAGATCCTATCTCAAATTGGTGGGAACCCCACACACTAGTTTATCCTTTGTAGAAAAAGCTAAGAATATTCTGGTATCGGATGGTAGACTTTACTTCTGGATACTGGGTGGTAGACTTACTACTCGTTACTTTATTGGACAGTGTGCCTGGTAAGTTGACCTTACCAGATGGTATGCCTGGTATTGAATTAGACCAGGCGATTTATGTACAATCTCAGCTATCGACCAGTAAATATTGGTTTGTACTGACCTGTACTAATGATATTTAAAACCTTGAGACAAACAATTATGTATATGTATTTATTTATGCTTAGTATATGTTATAAAGAATTGGGGCCTCAATCCTGTCATTTGAACATTAAAAACATGGTCCTCCAAATTAAAGCATAGCTCCATTGAATATGATCTACATTATTAGAATTTAGAAAACCTTAGAAATCCAATATTTTTTTTCGGAATCTTTTGTATTTTCATCTTGTCCATACAAAATGAATATTGTGAAAAATATTTGTGGCACACTAGCCTATGTTTTATGCCATTTCAATTGAGGTTCTAAACCATTGATTCTTCTTTGATGACATGCATACCAGAATATGCCATTTCAAATGAGGTCCAAAACCATTTATTTTGATCTGATGACATGCATAGCAATAACCAACATGTTTTGACATGTTTAGATTGTTAGTGAAATCAAAATATATTTTATGCTGTTAAAATACTAATTGTCACAAACATTTGATGCATAGGTATGAGATTCTTCAAAATTTATATGTTTATGCAATATGGTTGACCATGTATATGATCTTATCTTCAGTTTGGATCCACTTGGATTGATTATTAATAAGAATGGAAGAAACAAAGCCTCAATCCTCCAGACAGAGTAAATCAAGTATAAGATTAAATCACATATACATGCATGTATTCTACACACAAATAAGTCAGAGGTTTCTAGATAGTTAGTTTTGTTCCTATTGTAAAAAGAATTAACAGTCTGTCTTAGGATTTGCCTCAACATGTCATCATAGTCTCCATGAAGACATCCTTATGTTCTTGACTTCTATTACTCTGTGTTTCAGATTTAGTAGTATCACCTGCAGATATAACACATTCCAGCTTTTGACTGTGTCAGGTATCACGAAGCTGATATGAGGACAGGAAAAGCAACATATTGGCAACTTACAAGCCTTCAAGCCTTCTGGCCTGGTCTTCAGGTTTTCATTTTGACCTTGAAAGTTACAAGATCATAGGAAATCAAACCTATATAATCCTGTGTTGCATTATTGCCATCAGATTCTTGTTGGGGACATTGCTGCTGCCAATTCATCACATCGTGAGTTTTTCTATGTATGGGACAAGTTTGGTGTACTACCAGAAAGGTATATTCTTTGGTCAACTTAGAAACATACACATATTTTCAAACTATCACCACTTTGATTCTTATTTAACCTTGCATGAAATTATATGTATAACTAAAGACGAATATTTCCCTCCAAACTTGTTTAATCTTTGATAATTTACTTGTGAAGATACTTTCTTGCTGTTTACCGTCTGGAGGAGAATATTTCAAGCCTGCTATCAAATAATGTACTTTAGTTTGTAGTGCCACATGATATCAGGCACCTAATAAAGATTGAGATCCAAGAGACCATTATGAAGTCTCCACAAGACAATCACTTGCACATGCTTCAGAGAATATAGAAGGATTGTGGATGTGGTTGTTAGATTCAGAGGTTTAAGGTTTTGTTCTTATAGATTTATTAGTTTCTCACTTTTCTTTCAAATTCTAGATGGATCATTGGGTAGAGGCTTGAGAGGATGAAACAGATTTACTAGGCTAAATGATTCAAATCGACTTGTGGCAAGTAATCTAGTAAACTTCTCATAAATGATGAAAAATCATGATATCATGACCAGTAGCAAGTAGAAGAGTTATTCCTCAGTGACAATTTTTATGACTTCTTTGAATGAAGTAATTATCTGTGGTTCAGATACTTCTATATAGTTTAGAGTTGCTCTTTGATGAAGTATTGTTTTGGACAAGGTTTTTAATTTCGAATAATACTGTCCGGTACTGGTCTGCCAGCAGATCGGTACATGGACCGCCCGTTACCGGATGGTACCATTGATTGGGCTGTTTCTGCCCTGTTATCGTCTTAAATTGACTGTGACCGAGGGAAAAGAAAGAAGAGGGAGAAGGGGAAGAAAGAAATGGGAGAAGAAGAGTACCTGTGCCACGCTCCCTTCTTGTTTATCGACGACTTCTCATCCGTGTAGGGAGAAGAATCCTTGGCGTCGCGAGGAGAAGAGAGGCGACGTCGCCTCGACGAAAATGATTATATATATATATATATATATATATATAATATATATATATAT